GGGCTGTTATCCCCGTATTTATTCCCGGCTGAAGCTACACCCATCCTATTCATATTTATTGGCAGCAATGGACAGTTTCGGAAATCTGCCCGAATATGTCTCCAGCAGCTTAAAACCTGGGTTTGCAGTCTTAAGTAAGGTCCATTTCATTGCATGTATTAGGAGGAACCTGGCTGCAAGTGCTTTTTGTTCTAATTCATTAGTTTAAACGCTTGCATGATAAATGAAGATCATTCCTGTTTTACTGCCCTGCGGGGCAGCCCTTACGTACTCTATTAACTGGGAAGTTATTTTCTAGACGAGGGAGATTAGCTTTGTATTGCTGCTACGTTTAGGCTGTTAGATCACTTAGTATAGATCATTCTGCCAGTTCAACTTACTAAGGAAGGGAAGATTATTTTTTTTTTAATTTTTTTTTTGGCTGCTGGACTAAAGAGGTATTGTTCAGGCATACATAACATGTTAGCTTGAATAGCCTTGTCATAACAAGCTCTTTAAAAAAAAATTCTCCTGGTCCTGCAAACTAATTAATTTCTCACCCATTTGCCTGTAAGGCCTAGACTTACAAAGGAATTTAGGCATGTTTCTTTTTAGGAGGAACTTGCATTTACATGCCCACCAGAACAGTTTGTAAAGCTGCTTCTCTTGAGCTAATTAAACGCCACAGTTTTCACGTTGGTTTACTCAGACACTTAAATTGCTGCTGCTGCATAGAAAAGTTTCTGTTGTGCTTAAATTGGGCTGATCAGTGCTTACTGAAGGTAATTTGGAGTTTGCTAATTAGGCAGTCTTATGCCATACTTGAGTCTTCACCCTTTAAAGAGTCTGGTTGAAGAGAAATGAATTGGAGCAAGTTTGAAGCACAGTCCAACCCAACAAATAAGAGTAGCAGGTATTACTTGCTCAGATGGTGAAGAGGCTTTGTCTCGAGTCCTCCCTCTCCAAGAATTAATTGCGTTTTGCATGACAGCATGCCTCTGCAACTTCAGGGGCTAGGATTAAACCTACCGGTGCTTTCTGCTCTTCTTGCCCTATGTGTCCTCCTCATCTGAGATGGCTCTTACTCTTGTGAGATCTTGCGTCTTGTGCCGCAGGGTGATATATTCACAGAATCATAGAATTGCTGAGGTTGGAAGGGACCTTTAAGATCATCGAGTCCAACCATTAATCTAACCTGACCAAACCACTTCTAAACCATGTCCCCAAGTACCACGTCTACCCTTTTTTTTAAACACCTGCAGGGACGGCACCTCCCTGGGCAGCCTACTTCAATGTTTAATAACCCTTTCAGTGAAAAAATGTTTCCTAATATCCAATCTAAATCTCCCCTGACATAACTTGAACCCATTTCCTCTCGTCCTGTCACTTGTCACCAGGGAAAAGAGGTCAGCCCCCACCTCTCTACACCATCCTTTCAGGTAGTTGTAGAGTGTGAGAAGGTCTCTTCTCCAGGCTGAACACCCCCATTTTCCTCAGTCATTCCTCATCAGACTTGTCCTCCAGACCCCTCACCAGCTTCGTTGCCCTAAGAGGGCAAGAGGATCCTTAACAAGAGCATCCATTCCAAACCTGCCTATAGGCTGGTAGGTGTTCAGGCCACTGCGTTTGTAACTTAGCTGGACCCTCTTCTGACTTTTTACATTTCAGGCAAGAGCTTTTATCACTAAAATACTGTGTATAGAGTAGATAACCCTGTGACTATTTTGAGAAAGGCTCATCTGTACTTAAATCCACAAGGGACAGCTTGAAGTCCTTCCTGGATTAGATTTTAATCTCTTAGATGCCTGTTTTAACCTGTGGATGGTTGACTAAAATCCAGAGAAATGGCAGAATTTCCTATAAACCCTTCTTGTAGTGGTGCCTGGATCAGGAGGTGGGAAGCCCTCGCTGCTGTACGGGGTACAGATCTGATGCTTTGACATCAAACTCTTCCTTTACTTTGCAAGGGGTGCAAGTGTCTCGTACCGTAACTTCTGCAGCTAGAGTATAGACTGTTCCGGCTGTCGCTGCCGGAGTGCCTTGGTGAACCTGCACCCAAGCTGTCTACAAAACACGTAAATGTGTATCTGCCATCTGTTGTACATGGGGGGGGTTTGGGGGAGTAATCATTTTCTGCCTTATACATCTTGTATTATTCCTATAATTCCTATTATTCCTTTTTTATTTCAAATGTGTGGGGTTGTTTTGCTGGAATCCGCCCTCCTGGGTTCCAGCT